AAAGCCATTTATTTCAACAGATCTTCTCGATCATCACTTGAGGTAAACACCAAATCGGTAATATGCTTAACAGGTTCAAAACTGTTATTGATGAGAAATCCAGTCACACTGCTCATTGCTTTCTGAGTTGTGCATCAGTGTGAGTGAGCTTGGACACAAACATTAAAAGGAAGCAAATGAACAATGTTTCACACAGTTGGAAGAAGCAGGAATATTGAGATAAGGATCATACATGTGGACTCTTAGTTGCTTTCTCTCAATTGCAGGAAGGATGTGGGTGTCTCCGCCAAGAACAACTTTTTTGTTCCTCACAATAGATTCAAAACATTGTTGGAGGATAAGATAAATGAAATAGCAAAGTCAGTGGCCTCTGTATTTTGAAGAAAAGCAGTGAATGTTTTAGGCTTCCCCTCTAGCACTTTACCAAGGTCGAGCTTATCAAAATTACTGTGGCCTTTCCCCCTCATCTTTCAGTACTTGAGGCTCACAAATTGAGAGGAGGCAGAAAGCAAGACTTGAATTATGCACTTTTTAAATGATATTCTTTCATGCACGTATTAAACTAGCAATTATGTTCCCCATAGTGTCCTTCACATTTGCAATAGACAATGTATTAGATTCTTTCCAGTAAAGATGTTTCATAAAAGCCTCAAGGGACTCTGTTGCAGCACCACTGCACATAAGTTGATGTTTCCTGAAGGATAAATTTCAATGCAGTAATCACACTACCAAAGCATTTTTGGTTTGCCAAGCTGGGCATGGTAAGCATCAATTCAGTTTATTGCCCATCTATCACTGTCCTTCCTCACACTCTTCATTTTGTGATTAGGGACCTCTTTTGGTACCTCCCAGAGAAAACCTATTTGATACATTAATGTTATTCTTTGCTTCGGGCATTTATTTCCATCATCAACTTTGTCAAAGATAAGCCTTATTTGATCACTTTTTGAGGCTTAGTTTTTTGGTCACAGGTATATCATTGTGATTACATATACACCTGTTGCACTGACAACATTCTGGGCATTTTGTAACCTTGCATTTACAGGTCAGAGTTGATATTTATAGAGAATTTGGAACAACTGGTTTTAAACAATTTTGAAGAAAAGCAGTGAGTTCTCAGTGGCATTGCATTAGAAAGCTGATGGCCAGAAGCTCAGTGTTTGAAAACAGTGAAGAAATTTATGGCAAGCTAAAAGAAAGATTAATTACACTGTTTTTAGTTTGTGTAAATTTATTTTTTATATATAAGTAATTAGTGATGTAGATACTGTATTCTACAAAAATGTTATATTGTGAAAGTTATTATTGAAACAATTAAGAGCAAATTGATGAGGAACACTGAAGTTCTAATTTGAAAGATAAATAAAACCTTTGAAACAAAAACAAATCTTCTATGACCATGCCAAATAAAGTTGTTTTTTTATCTCATAGACAGGTCACAACAGAAGAGGGTGAAAGAAAGGCCAAGGAACTTAATGTGATGTTTATTGAAACAAGTGCTAAGTCTGGGTATAATGTCAAACAGGTAGTGATTTCTTATTTTTTTCATATAATGATATTCTGTATTGAATTTATATTTCTATAGAAAAAACTAAATGTTACCTTGTTACTAGTTTTTCTTCACCAACTTATTTTTTTTTGTGTGTGTAAATTTGAAAACAATTGTTATGTTTATAAGAAAAAGTTTCAGTCTATGTAGTTTTCCTGTCAAATTCATCACATTTGAGCTGTTAGTAATGTTGAATATTGTGTGTGTGCTTGAGAATTATATAATTATACATTTTAAGGTCATTCTACAAATTGTTTTCTGGTTTATTAGTTTTTTGACAATTCAAGTTATTTTGTATTTTTTTTCATGAGAAACATCCTGATGTATGGTGTAGCTGGGGTGGTGGGCCATGGAGGCTCCTTCCTGAGTGTGCTCAATTCCACTCAATTAAGAGCAGGGTGATGGTGTTGTGCTGGTGTAGATGATGTGCAGACGATCCTCCTATCAGACCTTATGTACTATTCGAGATGCCGTCTGGTTGTGGACTAGATGAATTCTGCCTAAATGCAGTTCACCCCTCTGGCTGGGAACCTTCCTTCCTGTTGTCACTTGGATGTTGGTCCCCAGGGGGTACTGGTGTTGGTTGGAACTACACCAGCCACATAAGTTCTCACATGTGAGTAGCCCAGGTTCCCTCTTCCTACTGTAGACTGGACATCTCTATCCCAATGTTGCCTGGTTCTGTACTGGAGTTGAACCGCCACATTACTGTCCGCCTTCCTATTTTCATCCGGATGTTGGTTCCTAGGAGAGGGGGGGGGGGGTACTAGTGTTGGTTGTGTTGGACTTGCACACATGATAATGTGGGTCCTTGGAATGGAAGATCTTTCCTTCCAGTTCCCATGTCCAAGGTGAATGGTAGAGGACAATTTTCTACCATGGGCCTACTATTCCTATCACAGTACTGCTGGTGTTGAGGATGAACTCCTCCTTACGGTTTGCTGTGCCCTAGCCACTCTACACCAGGGGTTCCTTCATTATTTCTTGGGTCCTACCTATGCTTTCATCTTTATTGCAACATATCATTTTCACAGGTGAAGAGTATACCTGTCTCAGAAGTGGTGTGGTCTCCCATGGGTGTGTCTTACATACTCTTTATTCACACACCCCATGGGCTTCCTTTGGGTGCTTTCTGAAGGGGGCTTATCTAGGTCATGTTACACCAGACCCTCCACCAGGACAATGTGGGATTCTAGCTATTCTGTGAGTAGAGGTAAGATATTGTATTGAAAGTTAACATTTTCCTACACTGAAATGTATTTCTGATAGATTCTCACCTCTCTCACACTTCCCACTTTTGATGTCTTTTTCCTTTTCTGTTGCTCAATCTCAAAGTGATTTTGGGCTAAGCTGCATAGAGGGAGTCAGCTGTGCTGGGAGTTGTGTTGTGCTCCTATTGATGGAGGGTTGTCACGTGCTCATTTGCATTCTATCATGTGCAGCTGCTCCATGAAAATACATGAGGGTAGGTGGGAGTACCAAGACTACCAACTATGTAGTATATTTACTTACTAGATTATCAAATGCTTTGAAGTTTTTCACTTAGGCAAGAAATGTACACCTCTGTTATTTAATAATAATAATATACTTATATTTTTGATTGGCATGTACTTGCACTCTGAGCTTGCCATTCTCAATAATTTATAGTGACTGCTGATATTTTCTTTTAGAGATAATATTATCATAGTTTTGACATTATAATCCATTGTTTTCCATTAGTTTGTTTCCTAATGTTAAGTGTAGTGAAGACCTAAAAAATCTTGGCTAATGAAATACATGTATTACAAATTGTTTTATAACATACTCGGTAGAGTTTCTGAAACAACTTTAACCTTGTAATTAATTATTGAAGATTAAAGCTGTTAATTTTGTGTTTGTGAGACATTATGTTTTTTTTGGCTAGTAAAATATGGTGCTCTTAATTTTTTGTGATCCAAATGTACATGGAAACTTCATTACTGGAAAAAATTTTTTATACCTTCCTGTGTCAAATCAAGAATTTTATTGTAATACATGGTATACTACATGAATATTACCCAAGTATAAGGTAATTAACAGCTCAGTGGATTAGAGATATTAAGTCACTATTAATTATTGTTACTTATGAATGAAATGATAATGAACAACACAATGTCACACTTGTGTCACACAGAAATGAAGTGGTTATTACATGTAACAGTGCATGTTACATAGGAATTGAAAGATTAATAATAAAACTATTAGCAGTATGTAATGAAAGAGTAGGAAATTTTTTTTCTGTACTAACAGTACTTAGCTACTAGCAAACAAGGATTTTAACAAGATCGTTTGCAAAAACGCATAGCGATTATCAAGAGTATGAAAGATTAGTTAATGAACTGAGCATAAATGCACTACTGTGCTGTAATGTACCCGAGTATTAATAAAAAAAATATTATTAGTTATTTAGACGAGTTGCTGCAGCCCTTCCTGGAATGGAAAATGCAGAGAAAACAAAAGAAGACAGTATCCTTTTTCTTGTTGTTTTATATCGTATATAGGTTGTTGCAGCATAGAATTAGAAATACCAAAACTCTATGGTTAAATTGGAACAACAAAGAAAGATAAGGAATTTACTTTAATGTTCTTCAGTATTTCATCATCTGTCACTTAGACTGAGAGTTAGTTATTCACATGTTTTCCCTCTTTTATACATTTGTATTAAACTTGAAAGGACATGCATACATACATACATACATACATATGAACATGCATATATATCTAAAATTTAATTTTGAAGTTATTAGTTTTTCATTTTGAAATAATAACCAGCTTGTTACTAAACTTATTGATGTGTATTTTTATAAAAAAGAATTCACTCATTAACTTATGCTCAAGTATTTGATCACTTGTCTTCACCCTTTCTCTAGATCTTACTTGTAATCTCTAGATAATTTCCTTTTTTTTGGAAATAAAACTTGTACTCAATAACATTTTTTATTATATTTGACATTTTCATGCAGTCTCAGTTTTAACACAGGATCTCTCCTTCAACCAGAGGTGCCTCGATGGCAGGAAATGGACAAAAAAATCCAAGATTTATCTGATTTTAGTGAAACTTGTTAAAGAAGTATTATACAATGAGACATGACAATTACATGTTACAATTTCCAAGTCGGACAAAAATATGACTGAATTATGACTGGTCACATCATCAGAAACTCCATAGTTAAAGACAATACTTCTTATTGTGATGTCTTTTTCTTTGCATGTTCTTTGCATCTGTTTTTTAGACCAGAGCCTAATAGATCTTCAGAAGATAGCTTCAAGCATTGCTGACTGTGATTGGAACTTTTTTACTCTCTGGCATGTCACCATCAATCACCATTATTCCCTCAATTACCTGCATGTGCAGCCTCTGTGTATGCAATCATAATGGACTTTTTGACAGCCATTGTTGAGGCAAATCCATCTATCAAGTCTTAAGATGCTATGACAACACTCAAAAATAGGTTTGGTGCTGACAAGGATAGTAATTATAGTAATAGTAGTCTTCAACCAGATCAGAAGACCAAATACAAGATTTCCAACCTGAAATAAACTATGAGAACAGGTTGCATAATTTGATTTGAGAGTGAAAAAAAAAGAGATACTCAATTAACTTATATGACCATCGCTGGAAAGGTAGTGTAAGTGTAGCTAATCTGAAATCCTGTGTCTCTTTGACTGCTCCTAACTGAAAAAAACATTTACAGATGGATACAGCACATTCAAGGTTTTCCAGTGGTGTATGCAACACCTCCATGAAACAATTACCAGGATTTTTTGTTCTTTGCCATTCCACCCAGAAACAATACTTCTCTGATTGAGAGAGAAATCCTGTGATAAATAAGTTAATAATTTTTGATAAAAAATTGCATCTGCTTTCCCTTGCTGTCTTTCAGAAATGTTCCTTGCCTTTATTTTCTTTGTTTTTGTAATGGTTGTTATTTGTCATTCAGTATTTAAGAAGTTGCATGAATGTTTTCAAAACTGATTGGTTATCTTCATTCTATCTCATCCCTAATGAGCCTTGCATGTTGGTTATTTCCTTGACCCCTGTCTCAGTTGTTGACGTTGACCTGAAAGATGCTCCGATTGAGCCACAGAAACAAGAGGGTGGGTGCTGGTGCTAGGGATGCCTGGCATGTGAGGGCTGGTGCTGGTGTTTGGAGGGTTGTTGATACCAGGACCACCCAGTATAAGAGGGGTAGGTGGCATGGAAGAATCATACAACATGTGGGTAGCATGTGGGACATGGTTCTGTTTGGGTTTGAGAATGCCAGATTTGTTACACAAAGTTCAAGAATCATAACATATTCTTAACAAGTTAAAATTTGTTTCCTGGACTGCATGCTCGGTTGTTATTAAATATTTAATTCTTTTTACAGTGAGAGAAAAAATTTGATTTTCCAAATGAAAAACTTCAGCTATAAGTAACATTTTGGTGTTTACTATTTCAACATGTATATTGGCCTTGTATGAAGGATAAACTACTAATCCACATTTACATGTATTCATATTTTTTCAAATAGTAGAAAAATGGCATTTTGTAAACTTGTACTAACTTGTACTTTGTGTGGTTTTATGTATTAAGTACCATAGTGTTTTTTTGTTTTGTTACTACGAAGTTAGATTTTAAGATTAAAAGTTTGTTTACACTTAAAATGTCTTGCTTGGCATTTTAACTATGTTTTTATGTCTTTATTCAATTGTCACTCTTTTGCAGTGTGTGTCATACAATGTAAAAAGTTGTAATGTTTCACTTCTTATGTATATACATATTTATGGTGAAAGAATATATAATTATTTAATTTTTTAGATGCCATTAACTGTAAATAAATGTTTACTTGTGCTACTATTATAACAGGAGCAAAGAGGGAGAATTTATTTAAACCTCAGATCACCACTACTAGTTGTGTTTTATCATTAATTGCTTAAATGAAGTTTATTCTTTATAGATTAGAAGTATCATATTCTGTATGTAGGCATAAATTGTGGTCTGAAGTTTTTGTGAAAATTCCTTTTTTTTTGCACTTATGTTTTGTGCAATTTAGCAGCTGAATTTTTATCTAACATTTAAGAACTTTAATTATAAAGTCATCAAGCCTTTCTTAACAGTGATGGAAATTTTGTGTTAATTTTTGTATATGAGCAGAATAATGTATAATGAAAAAAGGCCAATTATATCTTGCTTTTTGATATTAACTAACAGTATTTCTAGAACATAAACAAGTGTCTCCTTTTTGTGTAAATCTGATTTCTACAAAGATAAACATGTAATAAATTCAGTACAGAGATAAAAGCTGAATGTTGCTTTACAGATGTATAAATTAACTGCTTTTGGTCAGAAAAATTATATAAATGTGTTAGAATTCATTATCTTTTTTAATTTAATACTGTACCTTAGTATACATAGGATTGCAACATAAACTTTGAGAATACTTTGTTACATTATGCTGTATAGTAAAAAAAAAGTACAAGTTTCAATTTTAAGACTTTTTTTGATGTTAAGTGAAATTATGTATTTAGGGATAAATCAAAAGCTATTTCACTTTGAATTTTAATTCTTAACTTTCTGTTGTGTTGTAGTTGATTTTTACTTATACATTTTATTCAATACTTTTTGCTTCTTGTTTTTATACAAGAAAAAACACTTGTGTGTTGTTGTCTGTTACAGTCGAAAGGCACGAAAACTATTTATAATTTGCACCTGCATTTTTTCACTTTCTATAGTAATATTTAAATGTGTTGGTCTAAGCTACATTTTTGTAGGTGATTTTATGTTTAAAAAAGGGTGTAAGCCAGCCCTACAAAATTTAGTTCACCTAGAAAAAAATTTAGAAATTAAAAATTAATGTTTTAATCTTAACGTAAATCAAGTTTAGGAGTAGTAACTTTCATGTCAATTTTCAATTTGTAGAGAGAGAGAGAAACTAAAAATAAGTAGGAGGAGGAGTGGTTGAAAGTCTGTGAATCATCAGTTAGCTCTTATATACTTCTGAAATGTAAAGTATTAGATATGCTAAAAATAATACTATTTATGGTCCTTAAACTTATTTATTTCAAGTTCTAATTCACTTGTAAGAGGGAAGCTTGTTTAGTTGGTGTCAAAGTATAGCCGTTGCTTTTTCTTTATAACTAATGGTATGAAAACAAATTAATGCATTATTATATTGCCTCAGGAATATCTTCATTGTCTAAATCCCAAGTTACTGTGTCACCTGGATGATGCAATTCATTATATTGCCTCTAGAATATCTTCTTTGTTAAAGTTCATTCTAAATCCCAAGTTACTCTGTCACTTGCATGATGCAGTTCATTATTAATGCCTCTAGATTATATCCATTGTTAAAACCCTTTATGAATTCTGATTTACTGTGTTATTGAACACAGTGATTAGAATAGGATATGACACCCAATATTTTAACTTAAAAATACCTGAATATACTATAGTTTATGTGCACTCATCAGCATCCCATTAAATTGAAATATAATGGCTTATCTAATAAGAGCTTTCTTGATCAAACACTAGTTAGATATATCTTGAAGAAAATGAAGACATGTTTATGATCCAAAAACTTTGCACTTTATATTTGTCATTTTGTTTTCACTTTATGGAAAATCAAATACATGACAGTTTTAAAGTTTAGAGATCTTGCTTATGAGTATGTGTGTGTATGTGTATGTATATATATATATATAATGTGAGAAGTCACTTAACTGTTGAACTGGTGCAAATACATATATTAGACCTAGCCAGCTGTTTTAGTGAAGTATAGTTGGTCTTGAGATTAACTGTTGAACTGGTGCAAATACATGTACGCGACCTAGCCAGCTGTTTTAGTGAAGAATAATTGGTCTTGAGTCAGATCATTAACTCGGCTAGATTAACTGTTGAACTGGTGCAAATACATGTATTAGACCTAGCCAGCTGTTTTAGTGAAGTATAGTTGGTCTTGAGGGAATCCATAGTTTCACAAGGTAGTTTTTATCCCTTAGCAACAGCCAATCCTGGTTCTTGTATCTGTTTAAAGTGCACAGTAATACAAGGAACAGGACTGTCTCTTGCTAAAGAATAAAAAATGCCTTTTGAAACTAAATACTTCAAGTTCACAAGTTATACTGATACTTCTTTCAACACCTCAATTAGATATACATTAAAAAACTAACCTAAAATCATACTATCCTGCTCTACTTGCAAATATAACTTCAAACTTGTCAACTGAAAGCTGAGAGTGCAACTGTTCTATTCCAAATCATATATTTAATGAAAGCAAAAAAAAAAAAATTCATATAGCACTAATTATGAATATTTTAACTAGAATTTATCTAATTGTATCAGAAAGTAGTAAAACATCTAATATCCTTTATTAATAACATAGCTTATAATACTCTACTAAATAAAACCTTTTAATAAAACTGCCATTATTCCTCTCTCTTTTATCTAAGTCTCTGCCACTAAATTTCTTATTATACTTAGTATTAAACTTGTCTATTTTAGTAAACTAGTCACTATTCTTCACCTAATAAGTTAAGACCGATGCTTGACTTATGTTCACTTTATTTTGTTTATTGTTTCAACATTCTTATGATACAAATCCTTTATTTTTTATTTCATTATAATTGTTGCTGCTTTTAATTCATGTGGAGGTCACTAAAAGAAAACTGAACAGTTATTAATGTTTCAAGTTTAAAATAAATAACTAAAATGTACCTGCAAAATCTAGCCGAGTTAATGATCTGACGTCATTGTTACAAAAGGTATATATTTTTGGAATCAATAGTTTAAACAGCATTGGTTAAATTATAGATCTTGGTACAACAGGTATGTAGTGGTTACATAGAGGTGCTTTATGAGCTCAACTTTAATTTGTTGAGATAAAGCAGTAATATTTATTATGATAATGATAATTAATGCTGTATAAGGCCATTTTGTTTATAGCTTTTATATCAAAAACTCGTTGAGATTTAGTAATAATTAGTGCCATGAAGACATTGGTAAGTGTTATTTTTTTATTCTCATGACAGTCTTAAATTTGTCCATTTCTTTTTTTTGTCAAACCATTTGACAATATTTAACTATGTCAATTTGTTTTTGCTTTTATCATTGTCACAGTTTTAATATATTCTGATTTTATACGTCAAGTGCATGACTTATTTTTTCCACTGATTTAAATGTTACTGAATAGTAGATGTTAAGCATTAAAATAAAACTATATGGGCATTACTCCATCTCTCCACTCACAAAAGGTTTAACTAAATATAGTTATGGATTACTGACTTCAAATCATTGAAGTTTTGGTTTTAATCAAGCTTTTGTTAGCTAAGTAAATTATGTTTTTCTTTATAATCCAAGAACTACTTTCTGAAGTTTGAGCAGTAGGAACTTCTTTCAGAGCATAGAACCTCCTTAACTCTTCACAGCTGTACCTTTGAAACCACAGGAACCTCCCAAGGAACAAAAAGATGAAGAGGGAGGCTGTATTTGTTAAGGATATATTTTATTCCTATACTTTGTCTGCATTAAGCTTGCCAGAAAGTCTAAATTATATTATATATTGATCTGCTTAATTTGCTGGCCTTAGCCTATCAAGACCTCATTGAAGGCAGTGGTACCACTCCTACACAAAGCTAATGACAACTACTTCAATCATGTAGTCATTTCACAGCTCAGCTTCTAGATCAACACTAATGCTCTATGTTGTTTTCATATTTCTTGCTGTGTTTTTAGTCCTGAGATTCTAGAGATGGTGAGAAAGTAATTAAGAACTATAGGTTTCCTTAATCCTTTGTCATGTCAACACTAGGACACTATCAAATAGTTTGAATGTAAAGTATTCAGTGTGGAGTAGGCATTTCTTTTTCTGAATACATTAAGACATTGACCATTTAAAAATCATTTGGTGGTCATATTTGCTCTACTGGCCTTAAATGTTATGTGTTGAAAGAGTCAATTAAGAAATAGTTGTTCCATCTAAAAAGAAAAATATAACGTATCTCAGAATCATTCCATTTTAAGTACATAACAATTTTGGATTAAATAGGTAGGTGAAATAATTTTATTTTGGTGGGACTTTGCTGTTATTAATGGATAATTTTTTTAACGTTTTGTATGAATTTTGTCTCTGGGTTTTTTACCCAGATGATTTGTTTGAATATTAATTTATAATTTTATAGAATCAAATAAGTATTTATTTCTGAGTGCATTGAAAATGTACAGTTTGTGGCACAAGTTTGTTCATGAATGAGAAATTTGGAACTTACTGAAGTTTTAATTTAGTACTTACTATGCAATTATCTATAACTGATCATTCCTTGTAAGACAGTTTTAATTTGGAAAGAAAACAGTTTTTCAAATGTAACACCATAAATAATTTTAATTTTGTGTTTGGTGGTTCAAAAACCTAAAGAAACTTTCACTTCTGTTACATTTTCAGAAAATTGTGAAAATCTGTATGCTATTAAATGTTGCTTCATTTTTTCTGATACCTAACACGTTATCTGTGAAATTCCTTAATTTTACAACTAATTTTAACTTTGAATATTAGAAAACTTATAGATTGGATATGTATATGAATATAATTTGCATGACATTTAAACTTCTTTCTGCTTATCAGCCCTGATAGTGAATAAAAAAAATATTTATTGTTTTGTGTATCCATGTTACATAAAATTCACTGTTGTTCTTTTCACAATTCCAAATTTATCTATAGTATGTTACATGTAACAAACTGAGTGTCATAATCATTAAGAACATTTAATACCAAAGAGTAAATGGTAAAACTTAGGCAAATTTAAGGATTCAGGGCTGGATTCTTCAAGTGTCTGTTCACAAAGATTGTTTACTTTTTTGCACAGCTTAATTTAATAGTTAAAAAACTAATATTTGACCAGTCTGAAATATCCATTGTATATGAATGGAAACTTGTACCTATTACTTGAACCCTTTTATGAACTAATACAGGTAATTTAGAGAAGCAATATAAGAATAAAGTTTGGGATCTGTGGGTTTTTAAAAATGCTGACTGGTTTGTCTGTATCAACTTTAAGAGTTCTTGTGCTTGCAATGAACTATCCACATGCTTAGTTTGAACATACACGTGTTCCTTATAAATCTGGTAAACTTTCCATTAGGATGATAAAAATAAGAACGTAGGCAGCATTGAAAATAAGTTAATAAATTACATGTGCATTACCAACCCAATGTTAGCAGTTGACATATTTTGTTTTCAAAAAGGGATTACATATGACAACATAGCAGAAAAATGAAGTGCTGTACATCTATAAGGATCCTGTCCCACGGCTAAAACATATCTTATGCTTACTCCCATTGTCATCTGCTTTGGCTTTCATGATTTACACAAGTTTGAGTATTAATAGATGTATCATATTCTATTACTGAACTATTGTTTTATTATGACATTAAGATATTTAAGAGTTTGGTAATTTTATCATGTGAAGGGTTCTGGGCAGCATCTTGAGTAGACACTGCGTGAAAATTATAAGGGATCTTCTTGTGAGCATATTTGGATTTGTTGAATATGTTTTGTTGTTTTCTTTCACACACATATATTGGGTTTATTAAGAAGTTTGATACCATGTAAAAGTAAAGCATCTATTAAATTATCCAGTTCATATTGATAGGATGTGATAATCTAGGTTTACAGTCACCAAGTCAACAATAATATATTTGTGGCATAAGTTGCTCAGTTATATGTAAACCTCACTTTAAACTAGCATTAAGCTTATATTGCAGTTGAGAATGTTGAAACATTAAGCTGGCAATTTTGTAAGGACTACTTTTGACTTTGTTCATCTTTTTCTTCAGATACAAGCAGATTGTAGTGACAATTTAGGTTTAACATATTGTAACATTCAAACTGACTAGGGCAGATAAGTTGACCATAAATAAGATGGGAATATCAAAACTGATAATGAGAACATTAGATGTCAATAAAAAGTTGTCTGTGGTGCTAATTAACAAGGTTAAAACTAATAGAAATGAAAAAGTGGCTGGAAGTATGTAGTGAAAACGAACAAATTTACACATACACACATATACTAGTTGTTTCTCTTTAGTAAGCAATACTTGCTTCTAGGTCTGTTAAAGTAAATATTCAATTTGTATTGTTAGAGAAGCAGTTGTATATTTATGTATGATATATATGTAGTGGTAATTAATTTATTAATACTTGACCCTCATAAAATACCAATGTGTGTGTATATGTGAATGTTTTTTCCTTCTTACCATATTAAAGTACTTTACTGCAGGGATTCTGAACTTGTAGCAGTACTGCCAGATCACTGGGCCAAATCAATAAATTGATAGTCTTTTAACTTTTTTTTTATGAAGTAAAACATTTTGAAATTATGTTATGGATACATCTTAATAATAATAGGCCCTTGAAACTTGTATTGTTTTCTAATCAAACTTGTTTTGGTCAAGTTTTATTTCAGTGTTGAAAAAAAGGTATGAAGGACCAGATTTTTTGTTTGTTTATTATGATGATTGGACAGACTTGGTAAAAGAAACCTCAGTATATAAATATCATGGCTGATTGGCCAATAAAAGGATAGATGCAGGACTAACTTCCCAGTTTTTGTTTCCAGTTTATTGTGGACATTCATCACTCGGTGCATGGAGATAGGCTTTTGTAAGAAAAGCAATGGTTGCATTAAAGTGTCAATGCCTAAGAAAGTTGTTTTGAGCATTCTTTGAAATGTTTTAGTTCAAAACAAATCATTTTAAAATTAATGTATTCTGTATTAAACTGGATGTACAGTGGTTCGTCAGTTTTTTACTTTTACAAAGAAAATTTAATAATTTTTTTCTATACAAGGAATATTTCGTGTACCAACTAGTAAAAAAAAGAAAGAAAATGCACTAAATATCTTTAAAAATATTGCTCTTCCGTTTGAAGGAAACTCTCACAACTACAAGAAGCCTGACCTTGTTGAGTTCTGAATAAAAATATATCTAAAATACAGTACAATTTACTTCTCAACTTAATATGGTATATATTAAGAATATAATTACAGAACAGTCTGATTTTTACTTCTGTGAAAAATTAGAGCAAAAATACATTACAAAATTATTATAGTTTAATTCTTTGTTTTATGTTCAAAGGAGCCCTTCTGCATTATAAATTAATTTTTTTTTCTTCCTTTTGTTCTAAATGTGAAGTTTATTTGTATAAAGAGTCAAAAGAAAATACATAGTCTTAATGGAAGATAATTAGTAAAACACTTTCACTCTAAAAATTCACAATGAAAACTATCTAGTTAACCTCTTAAACTGATATTAACTTTTCATTAAAAAAATATACATGAATCTATGATGAGAGAATTCTTGAATCCAAGGATGAATGTTTGATAGTTATGTATTGGTGATGTGAAGTATGTTTGATTAACCATCTTTAAACACGATGATAGATAAACCTAATTCTACAACTGTTTCATTTTATAGATGGTTTAAAATAAATCATATCAAAGTTACTTGAATTTGTCCATTTCTAGTGAACTGTTATAGTATATTCCCTTTATGTATTTCATTCAACCTAATAACAGCTGTTACAAAGTATAAACAAAATTTGATTATACTAATCAACAAATGAAGCAAGAATTAAAACAAGAACAAAAATGTTTTTGTTCACATCTTCAAACTACAGCTGTGTGGCAATGAAGATTCTCAGTCCTGCAGGTTGTGCACATTTACCTTATATTGGAGATAAGAGAGATGGAAAACAGAAATAAATTCCTGTTTCATTTTAACTGCTGGGTCCTTTATTTCAAATGAAGTTTATACACTTAAATTTGTTGTGCATTTGTAAAACTGAAGGACAGTAAGTGTTATGTCACTTTTTATGTAAAACTATCTGAGGGTACCCATTAAGGAAGCAAATATTGTTCCCTCTTACCCCCCTTTTTTCTTATTAAATCCCTAGTGATCTTATTAAATGGTTCTCCTGCTTTGTAGAAGTTAATAACTGACTCATTTAACTTTTAAGTTCTTGCATCTTTAAATTTAAAGCTAGAAGCATAAAAACGTGGAAATATGCCACATTTCAGGGTGTCCTTTTATTCCCCTTCTTTTTCAAGAATTCTAAAACAAAATGGCTCATGTACATCACTGGACAGTTTCCAGTTACCCAACAACAAATTACAACTCTGGATTATGCAAGCCAAAAGTCATTACAAAGATTTTTTACAAAGTCAATATAGGAATTATAAATGGCATTATATGTCATATCACATCTATAAGGAATGTGCTAAAAAAAACAAATCACCCTCATTAATGTATATTATGTGCTCAGCAGATGGTGCAACACTTTCAACCTTGATAAATTTCAAATAGCATCTACTAGCACTAATTTGTTTGCTTTCTTCAGGAGGTTAGGAGATTCAAAAATGGTGGATAGATACATATTTTGTACTGGAATAACAATGAAATTTCCTTTGTAGATTCCTCTGCTGTAATAATTAACTCTTTGCAGTGTATTGAAATAGGAAAATAAGCAGACTCTAGGAGACAACGCCAACTGCCTGGCAGATTTCTATAAAAGAGAAGAAAATGTACTTACCTTCTCAGAGATGGTGTGTAGATTGAAGAACAGTGACTTGTTGGAGTCGAAATTCTGCAGAAGATGAAACAGCCAGATGATGAAGGTAATGAGAGACAAATGTATGTACAGTCCTCCACATGCCTGCCTGAAGAATCTCATCCAATGGTCAGCAAAAGTGAGATGCAATAGAGTGAGACAGGTTATGAAGCTGTTGTGATGAAATGTGAAAGAGCCTGCAAGTATCAATATCCAGGAAAAAAAAGACACCAACTAGAAGAGTTTGTGGACCCAACCAGTAATGGTAGAAGGTGAGAAGTTCCTGGACAAAGAAGGGTCCCAAGGTAGAGACAAATAATGACAGGAACCCCAAAAAGGAGATATGCCAAGTAACACTGAACTACCCAGAACCAGACACAGAAGACAATCTAAGTCAAAATGAGCACAGAGATGAGAAATTGAAAGGAGTGAGATGGAAGATCATACAATTATTAAACTATGAGGTATAAAATAATATAAAAGGCTGTAGGTTATTTAAATGCTGATATTTTAGACTAGTTATTTTTAAATATGGGGCTCGGCATAGCCTGGTGATTAAGGTGCTCGAATGGAAATCTGAGGGTCGCAAGTTCAAATCGCTGACACAGAACATGCTCATCCTATATGACTACTGATTGGGTCAGCCACCTGGGTGTAAAATGCCCTTGACTTACAACAACTACTGCCCAACCCCTAATTTGCTGGAACTAAGGCCGAAAGGAAGAAAAAAATTTTTGCATATCATATAATGTTCATTAGAAAATATCAATTGTACATTCTGAATGTTTTAAATTTACTAATATCAGTGCCATGTCAAAGTGGAGAAGGCATTTTTAATATATTCTTATTAGAATCAATCATAATGCAGTCTTATCGGGAATATTCCTGTAACTGAAATTTTGCAATACCTTTCTCATTCGAGCTCTCAAAAGAAAGATATTTTGACAGCACGTATATTTATATTTCATTTACTAACAGATGTACCTACCAGTATAAACTGCAATAGGTTGGGGTCTCACAAGGCACGAGATTCACAATGGCTAACATGAAATATAAACCAACCCAATTCCAATAACAAAACTTTATCATTATCCTTTTAATCAAGCTCAATTTCAGGGGATTTTTTTTTTATTAAAACTAAAATTAGGATCATGACTTAAAAACAGCCATTTTTACAGGATTTCCAATACTGAAGTATTCCATCTCTTATTATTTTCTAGAATTTCAAGAACCGATGCAAATGCTGCAGGCTTATGACCGCCAATCAGAGGACTGCCTGAATGCAGTTGGAGTACTTAAAGCCAAAAATATATAAAAATCTAAGTGGATGTAATTAAAATGTAGCACTCATCCCATGCACTTAACCCAACATACACTAATGAAATGCAAGTTTAAAAACTTATTTATAGTAATGAAAGTGAAGATTACCCTTACAGGCTACAGCAGTAAAGCACAGTTCATTAACATCAGATTCTTTAGATTCAAACACTGGTCAATATTTTATGTAAATTCAGAACAAAAAAATGTGCGTGTAACAAGTGCCTGTTTTTATTTCTACAAAAAATCCAGTTATTATTCTATAATTAACTTTAAATATCAGCAATCAGTGTTGAAAGCAATGCATATTATAATGTGCATTTCTGTTAAAATGTTTATTAAACTGCTTAAGTAACAGATTACATGTACTAAAACAAAACTGTAGATACAATATTTCAATTCATGCCCTATAAAAAAACATAAAATAATGGACCGGTAAGATCTATACAATAAAACATTTTAAAAGCAAAAACACATAGTCGTATGTTTTAATACAATCTGGGCTGTAAAAAATTGTAAGAATCATAATATATAATACAAACACAACTAAAGTAATTATGTAATTTATAATAAAGTCAACAATGAAATGGTAGTTCACACACACACATATATATGCAATTCAAATAAATAATTAATGTATTACAAAACAAGACAGTACCATCTGGAAACTTAATAATCAGTTTTTAATTTAGAGTACTTTTTCTAAGAAGTATTGACCATTTCTATGATCTGTGAACTAAATTTCTATTTCCTATTTATACTGCAAGAGATTACTTCTATTTGTTTTAGCACAAAACTACAAAATAGGAATAAAATCCTGAATTTTAGCACTATTAACCCTGAAGCTCACTACTGAGCCACCAGGGAGCTAAGAATAAATGACAAGCAAAGTCTATTTATACTATTGCCTTTCACATATTTTTACATGCTTTCCTCATCAATAATATAGAAAAGTACAAGGTAACTTTTATATCATTTATAATAATTCAAATCAAATTTATGGATTTAAAACATTCTACTTTGTCTTTTAGGTTAGAAAAACTTTTTAAAAATTCCTTATTAGAAGCAGTGTTTCAGAATGTTTCAACTAGTTATAAATAAAGCACTTCACTCTGTGTTTCATATTGAAGAATAGCTATTAATAATACTCTCAAATTTCTGGTTACATTCTTCTTAAAAAAGGTCACAGAAATCTACTTTTAAAAAAATGTGAAAAAAATTTATAATTACAACATACGATTTATTACAATTTGACAGAATGCAAAAATAAAGAAGTACATGATAACAAGTTACAGATCTTAAAAGAAAATCTTAAGAACAAAACCATGAAAAAATCCAGGCAGCTAGCAGGGTATATGATTATAAAAATATTAATTGCATCTTGACAAATAACCCTTCACAAATATTTGACTATCATTTGAGTTCTTCATTATGGTATCATAAACTTCAACTTACTTACCCATTATACAAAAAAAACAAACTGTTAATGTCCCCCTCCCCCCAAAAAAACAACAAAAACTAATAAACAAAAGCTATGCTATGGTGTCCATAACATGATTCATTTCATTTAAAAACATCTAGTGATCAGAAGGTTACAGAAATTACAGTAACATTTTTTACTGAGAGAAAACCTAGTTTTGTTGTAGTTAAATGTAAGCATATTCCCACATTACATCCCAATAACACTAATACATCATTTGTCATTAAAGATCTCAAAATATTCAAGCTTTAATTTATGAATTCTTGAAAGGATCCAGCTGATTATGAAATTGAAAACTCTTTTGCTTGTCACTTCCCTATGAAAAACTAAAAATTCTCAGATACAGTGAAGTCAAATACGAGATAATGTAAAAAACTAAAGTAATCACTAAACAAGACAGTACCATCTGGAAAACTTAATTAATAATCAGTTTTTAATTTAGAGTACTTTTTCTAAGAAGTATTGACCATCTCTATGATCTGTAAACTAAATTTCTATTTCCTATTTATACTGCAAGAGATTACTTCTATTTGTTTTAGCACTTTTGCTTGTCACTTCCCTATGAAAAACTAAAAATTCTCAGATACAGTGAAGTCAAATACGAGATAATGTAAAAAACTAAAGTAATCACTACTTTAACAAAATAAAATAAAAAGTGGCAAATGAATGCATAAAATAACTGAATTTGATATTGCAGTTTAATTGATTTACTGTTTTGCTTTTGCAAATCCTCCTATTAATTAATGTCTATTATAACTGTGAAAATGACAGTTAAATTTATCATATTTTCTAAGAATATATAATACTACAGGAAAATGTTAAGCCTAGTTAAGGGATAAAACAGTAATGGCTGAAATGTGACAAATAAAATAAAAATCTATAAAACGATTTTGGATTTAACTTTTACCTCAGAGTTAAGGGGGTAGAAGTAAGAGTTTATTAATGAAAGGATATATGAAATGAAGGTGATAACCCTAATCCTTATTTAAAAAGTAACTGGTAACCCAGGATCATGTAAGATAGCATGTGTTTTCACACTGGCGATTTTGCTTTAATTCATTTACACAACTGAATTCAGCACAACATATTCCACTAATGTTTTAAATGTAAAATGCGCTAAGTGTTAATTATGTTTATATCACTTACAAATGAAAAAGTATTGTCTACTTAATACATATATAATCACTTCTTGCCCTATATATTCTCTTGCTGTGTACAAACATAATTAATTCATAAAGAATAAGAAAGACAGAAAAAGACTCTTTTCAACCTCTCATCTTTCTGATTATATATTATGCAAACTTTTTCTATTGACACAAAAAATTAGCTAAATAGCCAGTATCCTGCAGCTGCTATTTTATCTAGCTTTTTAAATTTTCTCGTTACAACTTATAATTAAAAACACTTATAATTATATTTACAATAAGTACCTTTGATGTTTTTCTCATGGTTTCTTTTCTACAAAGCAAACTCTTAAGTATTCATAATAACCACTATTAGTCTCTCTACAAATATACAGTACTTAATTTCATACATCAATTACTTGACACTCATTTCAATGCTTATTCTTTGTTGTTCTCTTCATCAACAACAAAATGACCAGATTTATCTGATACATGTCCAGTTTTATTAGCAGTACAAAAATTAACAATTTGGTAAATCATGCATGTCAACAAATAACCTCAAATGTAGTGTTTACATGAAATTGCAACCTGGAACTATCACAGGTCTCAACTCTTTAAATCACAAATGTATATCATGGTCATCCTTGACAAGTTTGCTACCATGTACCCCTCCAGTGGGTTTCAACCGACTTTTAGTTACAGACCTCGTGACATACCGGTAAGTCACAGACAATCATGTTTCTAAACAAAATTTCTCTTATGGAACATGAATGAGTTTGGGACACTGTGACTGCTCCTCAGCACCTCTTGAATGTTAAATTTTAATTATTTAATTTATTACTAGTTTTACTACTATTGGTGGCAGCCAATGTGTTAAAGTTAGTTTTTTTCGTTAACATGCTGAAAGAAGCGCACTTTGAAAAAAAAAAGTTTGAATAAATAGTCTTTACAAGGTATACAGTTACTATATTTTAATGTAAAGTTTTAGAGACAAGATGAAACAGCTATGTTTGAAAAAAAACAACAACTTGGAATTCATTAGTCTTTAATCCAGGTGTAACAGACAGGGATAAGGTTTTCTGAATCTTGGATCATCACTTGATTGGCTTGATTTTGTCACATACGAAGACTGGTTAATCTGTCCAGAGATTTAGCATCTATGTAATATATGCTGTAGAAACTCGTATTATCTGTATTGTAGCTTTGTAATACTTTGGAAAAAGTCATTCCAATGAATATAGATATGTGTACACACACACACATATAAAGTATATTAATGTATTTAATGATTTAGTCATTATTTTAGTAGAATTCCAGTTTGACTACTACATTTCTCATGCCTCCTGGTCTGGGGCTAGTACATCAAAAATATTTTTAAACCCCTGACTACCACATGCCTTTTGACAAATAAAAGCCTAACAAGATATGGGTATTGAATTGTTCATATAACATTTATTATGTGCTTTATACATCAAACATAAAATAATACAAGACAATCAGTCAGAAATAAATTGAAATAAGTAGTATTATTGTAGTATGACCTGCAGTATTATTGGGAATGGCAATAAAGTTATATTTTAAAAAGTTTATAGAACCAGAAACGAACTTGAAAATTGTGTATATCAAACAAACAACAACTATCTATCACATCAAAAACAATTTAGGATAACAAAAATGATTCCTAGCTTTTGTGATTTGCACAAATGATGTAAAGAAATCTTCTCTGACATGTAGTTATCTTGTTTTGTTCAACTGTTTAGAAGCTACATAAAGTTGACATATACTTTCAAGCTATATTCAGGTTACTACAAAAAGGAAAACGTTCTTCTTCTGGAACTATTATTACCACCACAAAACAGGAGTCCACATCATTGTCCCAGGAGCAGAACCTGTCAGCATCCTCATAGACATATCTGTACCATCAGGTCTATAATAACGTTGAGGTGGGTAAACAACTGGACTCTGGATCTGTGGGGATTCTGTGATAGCAATAAAAACAATATCAAAGAAAAACTTCACCATGTTTATGAAATACATGTTCAAACATATAAAGGAATAATATTTACAGTCTTTGCTGTGTATCTAAAATAATCATTTAAAAAAATGCTATAAATTTCTAACTAAATAAAAGTGACAGTTCACCCAATCTTAAATTTAAACTTATGAATGGTTAATTATGATTGGGAGTATATACAAAATTATAAAGGTCCTTAATGTAATAGATACAAAAATACTTGACATAAAGGAGCTATAATAAATGTTTAGTAAATTAAAAAATATAAAAATAAATTCAATACTTCATCTTCCAACTCAATGTTGAAGAATTCTGTTTTGAACAAACTGTAATATTAGAGTTTTTTCTGCATTTCAAGAATAAATAACACAGTAAGATTTTATTAAATAGTATTAGTTGTAACCAGTTTATTACTGGTTTTGACTGAATTTTAGAATGCAGTTACTTCACATTTAAATAGACTGCTTGGGCATTTCAATGTTTTGATACATTGAAGGGTAATTAGTACTAACTAATTATCTTTAATTAATTCAAGCTTTTAAAATAACACTTTTAACCTTCGTCAGTTTTAGATAAATTTGAAAATTCATCAAAATGTACAAGTTTTTTTTTATTCTCAGAGTTTTTTGTCTAAACCAGTATTTTTTTTTAACTGATCACTTTCCCATAGAAGTGCAATTCAGAAATGTAAAAACAGTAGAAAATGAAACCTTTCAAATAGTGTTTCTGAAATTAAGGATATAACAGTTTAATTACACGATGCAATCATAATCAACAATACTATTAGCCACTGGAAGTAGCTAATAATACAGTGTAAGGTTTTAACATTACTATAAATCTGTACTGTAAATTAAATATTTTACAATTTTTTGTTACTGAAGTTTTCATGAGTAGATTTGTAAAAATACAAGATTACTGTCATCTTACTAATCAACTGATCATCTGCTGAAAATTACAAAGTTGTGTAGATGAATGATGTTTAGTAGATAAGTTATTAGTATCTTACTTGTATGTTTACCCTTGATGTGATTAATATTTTCTTATCCTAAAAACTATTTCAGAATCACCTATGTTCAACAATCTGCCTTCTGTTAGTTTCTTAAAACAGATGATCAATTTTCACTCCAACTATTATCTGTTAACTCCAGAAGTTTCTATATTGCACTAACTTATGTCTTCACAGATTAAACATTAAGAATGTTTGAAATATGATTCTTCTAGTGCTTCACTGTAGTAACATCTGCAATTGGTTGACAATATATGATACGTGCTGAAATGATATTTTTCAGTGAATAGAATTTACTTTAAACTAAAAATAAAATCAGTTGGATATAACCAATCATTCTATCACAATGAAAGAAGCTACAGCTGGGTGCATTACTTTACTAAACCAGGATGATGTGTTCTGACATCTAGACAGATCTGGTAACAACCATAGATGTATTACTAACAGAATTGTGAGGTTACATGAATTTACCTTCATTAATTCATCACTTAAAAAAGTTAAATAACTTACGATAAGATTCTAATTTGTGAATCTAAATGGTACAATAATTTACCGGTCACAAGATAAATGCTCCCCACATGGCCCTGATGTAAAGAGAAAGTTTTAGAATGTAACAATTGGTTGAATAAAAACATACATAGAATAAATATGAACTAATCCAGTAGTTATGAGAAACTTACCATAAGCAGAGAGATAAGGATAATATGGTGCTTGTTGGTAAGGGTATGGCTGAATGTAAGTAACAGGACTATCTCCTAAAAATATATTTACAAAATATTCAGAATTTAGAGGAAGTTTCACCTCAGTTAAACTCACATGTATTTGATATATTAACCAAAAGACATGAACAAAAATTAATGAAATATATTTACATTAGCCCTAACATAATGGTTTCAGTAAAAATAATGAAAAGCAAATAACTTTTGTTTTATCAAAATATTGGACTTTCAAAGAATAAAGCCTTTTTTTTTTCTTACAGTTTACGTTACATACTACAAGAAAACTTTATTTTGTTTCCTTTGAAAACAGTTCACACTTAAGATCTGTATGGCCACAAAATGGATATTAGGGTGGATTTATTTTGAAATTTTTCCATCTGCATCTGATTGTTTGTTTTAAATAGAGCAAACCAAGCTATAAAAAAGTGTAGGTCTCATTAAACATCAGGCTATTACATTACAATATATTACAATGACATAAGTCAATGATTTTTTAAATCTTTTGTAGATATTACTATTTCCATGTATTGCTGAATGCATTATTTTTTTCCATTTTTAGAGTCAACCAATAAGCTAGTTTAGAACTAAAAATAACAAACTTTCTGGTTTGTACATGAATAATGAATATATTACAATCAATCTTTGGAAGGTTTATACAGAGTTTACATAGTAAGATCTATTAACAGGGAAGCATATACACACACACACAAACATACTGAAAACCCACATTAAGACGAAACATATAAGATCTGTACAAGTACACATACCAGCATAGCCGGGAAGATAACCAGGTGAGTATGGTAAATAAGGAGGTGGCTGTCCACAGGCTCTGGGCTGCACCTATATCACAGTATTATTTTAAACAAATTATAACATCTACAAACATTTACTGTGTACACAATAGGAGGTGACTGTCCACAGGTTGTGGGCTGTACCCATATCACAGTATCATTTTAAACAAATTATAATGTCTACAAACATTTACTGTGTACCCAATATACTTTAAACCATCTGTATAACAGCATTATGAATAAGTCATCAATATTTATTTTAATTACTATTTAATTAAATACTTACCTAAATTCTATCTTCATAGTAAAATCAAATTAAAAGGAAAAATACATAAAAAAAAAATGCCAGGCTCTTCCACTTAACAATAGAATAATGAGTAATTTGCATATGGAAGTAATGAGCCTTACCACTTCAGTTAATTTGTTTGTTTATTTGTATATTTTTTATTTTACGCAAAGCTACATGAGGGCTATCTGAACTAGCCATCCCTAATTTTGCAGTGGGAGACTAGAGAAAAGGCAGCTAGTCAACACAACCCACCACCAACTCTTGGACTGCTATTTTACCAAAGAATAGTGGGAATTGATTATCACATAGTAATGCCTCTATGGATGAAAAGACAAGCATGTTTTGTGGGATGGGGATTCGAACCCTCGAGCCTCAAATTGTGAGTTGAGCACCCTAATCACATGGCCATGCCAGGCCAACTTAAGTTAAACTGAATTAGACTATTTTGTAATAAACAGTGCTTTAAAATTTTGATTTGTATATTTAATTCTCAATGGACAAAGATAAGATTAATTTTTAGAATAAAGTTTCACTCATTGACTTTACTAGGCATCCAGTAAAACCATTCTGTACACATTCTCCACACAAAGGCAAGAATACATTAACAAAATATTCATTTTTAAATAGTCAATATAAATTTTTGTTTGCATTGAGATACATAAGAGTGAAGAGAAAGATGGTTCTTTCAAAACATTAATAGAATAATAACACATACCTGCCAGACTGATAAACATAAAACAACTTAGCAGAAATCAGTTCCAGCATACTTTGATAGATACAATCTCCAGTCAAATGAAATCACTCAAAAATACAGAATATTTATGGAAGAATAAACCAATAAAATCAAGAGAATGAAAACTAGAATACAACTGTAAATATATTCTGGAAATAAAGAAAGAGTTTAGTCACTTGAACCTTGAAAGATTCACATGCTTATAACTAGATGTACTTCTGCAATGTCCCCCAGAAAGTGTTCTGTTTCAAGAGTAAATAAATCCACAATAAAGAGTAACAAATATTTTTATTTCTTGCTTTTGAAGTTCATATGTCATGCTGAGTTGTAGCCTAAAGAATGCATAATTATTTTCATGATTCATGGCATGCACGTTTTACTGACATCACGACAGTACAAATTGCAACGTTAACCATTCTAAGCATTTTAATGTCTACTGACAGACAACACACTACTGTATAGTGGTGTGAATGGTTGAAACAGGTGATCCCTCCAAACAACCTTTGGCCCCTTTTTGGGAAAACTAATAATGAAAACTACATATATTTGTGAAAAACAGCAATATAAATACAAACCTTTGACCCTGTTTTTGCATTGCACAATTGAACCTATATTATTATTATTATATTGTAATTCAACTACACAGTATATATGTATATAGAGGGAGATTTCCAAAATTATTAAGACTGCTTATCAATACTTTAATAAAAATACAAATATTTTGATTCACAACAAACCTTACAGTACTAAAAATACAAAAACAATTACATGATACACAATGATTTAGCATTTTTATTTATAGATTAACAGCCTAGAAAGTCAATGAAAACACACACCCAATACTTACACCAAACATCCTTACTTGCTCCAAAGCTAGCTGCCAGGCCCTGCATAGTTAAAAAACAGCTTTATAGTTCTTATCAAGGCTCAATCTTAATGCATAAAACATGCAGTAAAGTGTAACTTCTATACATCTATTTTCTAAAATATTAACATAAGCTATACTTCAAACACTGTGCAATCAAACTTTCAAAACATTGGCAATAATTAAAATATTTTCTAATATTAGCTGTATAATGAATTCCATATTATTAACAAAAATCAGATGTAAAATCAATAAATGACACTGAAATCAGGTAAGCATGTTTGGAATATCACTTGCAATTTTAAGTATGTTGATATTAATCTCCTCTGATTTCATTTGAACTTATAAGACATAAAAGATATTTTTTTTCTCACCTCATATCATCTAGTGATTCTCCACAGAATATCCATGTTTTTCCTGAAGAAGCAGCTACAGAGAACAGATTCTGAACTCCTAAACCCTCAGGGGGCTGTACACCTTCAACCTGGCAAATACAATAGAAATATTGGTTCGTAATATATATGATAAACTTTGGTAGTTCATGTACATTGTGTACAATCATCTGTGTCCTAGTAGACAGATTTCTAAACATACAATACATTTAGAAAACTAAATGACTCTTCTATGTACATCTTTCTTTCCTGCTCAACATCTTATTTTGTAGTTGTTTTCTATGGTTATGCACTTTGGAACTTCTAGTTATTCATTTTTAATGTACTATTTTAGTATTATTGATCATGCTTTCAATAAATGGGGTCAATACACCTTCTCAGATTTGTTAATATAGTAGAGGTTGGTTTATTGCACATTTCTGTAAATAAAATGTTTTATTTTGCATTATAAAAAAATAATGAATTACCATATGACTGAGTCATGAAATATATGAGCATGTAGGATCTTAGGTGGCACATAATAAGTTTATTTCTTTGTTTTTATATAAAGCTACGCAGTGAACTATCTGAAGTGTGTTTGACTTAGGGATCAAACCCACATAAGATAATTTAAATCATACACAAGTAGTGATGTCATGGTTCATTTATTAGAAAGTCTTTAGTAAATGCTACTTTAAAAAATATGCAAGATGCACAAAGCAATTATCACTGATTTCTTCTACAAGAAAAAAAATATGCTATAAATGGAAATGGAAGCTCATAAAAGTAAATAATATTTCAAACAAGAAATAAGACTTGTTATAATTTTATTACCTGTTCCTCCTGTATACTTGAATTAATTTATGTTTCAAACTCTGTGAACATGAAATAACATAAATAAAATAATTCTAATTTTCAATATGAAAATAACACACGATTTAGAGCTTTGATGCTGTAATTATGTGTATGCTAATGACAACACAAAATATACAAGCCAAGCTGTATGCAAAGCAAACATATTTCTAAGAACACATGAGTGAAAGCAGAGGAGAGTATGTTACAACATGTTAACCACACCACATCTAGTGCAGATGAGGACCCTCACCAATAACAGGGCTCATCAGGCTGACTGGGATAGAACAGATATTGTAGTGGCTTAGTGCTATATACATCATCAATTTGTAGTTAAGAGACATGTTTCAAGTGTTACTTGCACCTGATCACTCATATCAGTGAAAATGACTTTTTCATAAAGCTATAATGTCCAAAACAAACCCATCCTTCTTGCTGCTTAATAAATTATAGCATTAAACTATTAAAACACTTATGCAAAGGTGTTGTGAAGACTGTCTCACACTGTCTACAGCAAAATGTCAATAAAACCTTTTGCCTTTGTATATTGTACATTTTGTTGTAAAAAATTTCTAGAAAATTACTTAAATGCTTATTCTTTGAAGCTCCAAACTTCTCAGAAACAAGCTGGAAAGAGAAATTTTCCCTGGATCCCTCTAAAGCAATGGTCTTTGGTACTCTCAGTTTTTACAGTGCTAATCAGTTATGTCAGATTTCTAAACAATAACAAAATTAACTAGCTGTAGCTATCAACCATTTTGAAGAGAAATATTTTGATCTCTGTGAGCTGTTTCTTTTATACTATCTTGGGTAATGTAATGCAATACTGAGAGATTCATTACCCATCTGTAATTTTCAACATAAACCTACAAATTACTTCTGAAAAAAAAGGAGACAAATCAACGATAAATACAGTTGTTTGTTAATATAAAACAATCAAATTTCTAGATTCCACCTTCCTCTCCAAACCTGTAATTCTGTCTGGCATTAGCCTTTAGTTCTGTGCAATATACCTTGACAGGCAAGTTCAGTCCATGTATTGTTTTAACAGCTATTTTCCTCCAGCCAGCTTGGCATTTTTATTTGAATGATTAAAAGAAAGTTTGAAAATTAAACTAGTTTGTTACAAGTAAGATTGCAAAACAATCTAGCATACAGAAACTCAGGAAGCAATGATGTAGTGTGATTAAATATCTTTACTATAGCCTGTCTTCTTTGCTATTCTTGTGTTTTCTATTAAACCAAAACATACAAAATAAAGCAAAAATTAATGCACATGAAGTTTAAGAAAAATTACGATTTTTGAAGTACACAATTGAAAAATATAAACTGTATTACCATAAGGAGCATGTAATGTATGTGGTAGTAGGTAGGATTACTTCAGTGGTCTCTAAAAATGTAGTTGAGATATACAGTGCAACCGTTTGCTTACACAGCTGAGCTACAAGTCTCTAAATTTAGCTGCAACTTTACTTTTTTAACAAATGAAAAAACTTCCTTACAAGATAACATATGCCAAAATTAAAAATTTATATTAACTATTATATGTTAGTATTTAAACCACATTTTTTTTCTTTCATAAATAAATAAACATGTCATTGTTCCTCTTTGTGGTACTTTTTACAACACAATTTCAAAAATGTGATATTTTTCATATTCTACCATCAACTGTTTTATAACAATAACTTACAAAGGTTTAAACATATCATGACTTACAACAATCAAAACACAACAAAATTATGTTTACTTCTTAACTCATTCCGCACAACATTAAGAATTACCTTTTACTATTGTGGCCCAACAAAACTCTCTTATATTTTCTCCTTGATAGAGCACTCAACAGTGTATACTTCAACAATAATGTGTAATGGTTATGTATAGTATATAAAAAAGCTACTAACCTGTGAGCCTGATTTTATGGCTAAACATTCCATGGTAATGTGGATGATATCATCTGCATTGGGGCTGTGTTCATTTTCATAATATTTCAGCTGTCCATCTCGATAAAATTCAACCCAACTCCATTTCCATTTATTCAGAATAGATGCTAATACAATGAGTGAAACACAAAATTCCTTTATAATACTTAAACTTTAAATAAAAACTGAAAAATATATTTTGAGAACAGTAGGATTGGCTCAATATAACTAATCTCAGAACAAAATGGTTAATTAATGTTCATATTCTTCAGATTTAAAAAAAAGCTTAATTTTCATGTCCAGCAATTCAGATCTATCCTTCTACCTCACCTGTTACTTTTTCCATCATTGGGCAGATCGGAGACATACACTTTCTAATAGACTATGATGAAAACAAAGTTGTATTCATATCATGTTTATAAGGAATTTAAAGATTTATTTTGTTCAAGAGGTAAATCATGAGCTAAACAAATTATATGTATTAGTATTAATTTGATATGTTTGTTTACATAATAAATAACTCAATTACATTGGAATCTATGAAAGTTAAACCAATGCCTGAATGATAAAAATACTACAAAGCAATGAATGACACATTTACCTCTACCATGCTTGGGTGTTCCATTTGAATTTATCTGTTGTATTGTTTGTTTTATTGCATTTGAAAAAAAAAATGGATGAAATAGTTTGAAACTTTAGAGGAAATTTCTACAAATTATGTAGTTTCTGCAAATAAAATATCTTATTTATTTATGTAATATTTATATGAATTCACAGCTTTGAAACTTCAAAAAGAAATGATTATTTTGTTTTAAGATACAATTAAAAATGCTGACCTATGTTTGAAATTTTAATTACTGACTTTGATGTCTTCTTACATTCTTTTAAAACTTTCCCATAAAGTTTTTATTTTGTAAGACTGTAAATTTCACTTTTGTTTTGATTCAAAAAGTACTGCACACATTTTCTTTGTGTTTATGATCAATAGCATACAATCAAAATAAACTTTTCACCGTAATAAAATTATAAGCAGAATGACTTTTTTTAAATTTTTAATCAGAAGGTTACATTTAATATATGAAATAAGTTTTAAACCCATTTTATAATTGTTTTCATATTTTTTTTACTTTTTGTGATGATTTTCTTTCCCACTCAAACAGTAACTTAGGCCAATAAAGCTTAATGTAAACAAGGCCTAAAACAAAAGTATTTTCAGCAAAATAAAAACTTGATACAAGGTTGGAAATAAAGTGCATTTGCATTTAGGACTGGTTATAAAAAGCATTTCTTCACACAAAGAGTCATAGGTGTTTGGAACTAGCTACCTAGGATCCTTCAATAAACAGCTTAATAAGATTCTTAGATCAACAACCAAATGTGTAAAATGGGCTGAATGGCCTCCTCTCATTTGTTACCTTTCTTATGTTATTATTTGGCAGTCTTAATTCTGTCCATAACTGAGGTAATCCTTTGCTTTTTTGAACTTCACTGAACTGGCTAGCAACTCCCCAGTACTTGAAGATAATCCTGCTTGCTCAGTACTTCTCTTCCCATACTTCTCCCTCGCATGTTTCTGTCATTATTTTTCTGGATTTCAACATTGGATTCAGCACAAAAGTTTTGTTTTCTGAAGAGTTTCTTGATGATTTTCACCAATTTTCTGGTTACTTAGAACCTTTATTTTGAAATTTATTGTACTGGACATTACATATACAAGTCAGAGCGACTTTTTAGCTGTATTAGGAATGTCATAATTTTGAGGTTTTGGATAAAAATTAGCATGTAGGTACATTTGTTAAGAGACTTGACCTTGATAGTAGTTCATAGCACAACATTATGTACATCAGTCTTGAATAAATTCATAGAACATAGTTTTATCAGAAAGCATGACATACTAAGTGCTTTGATTAAGAATCTCTATATATCAGATTAAATCTAACTTAGATTATTTGAATGTTGAGCCTCGTGGGTCACATTTAAATTGTTATGAATTATCATACACCAAAATAATCTTAAAATGTGAGAACAGTAAATAATTAGTTGGTGATTTTGGTTGAATGAAATACAGATAGAAGTTTTCATAATTAAATATAATTTAGGTAGGTGACTAAAGAACTCCACAACAAAAAACCCTAGATATTCAGTTTATTTTTGAGTGAATTTAATTAAGATATTTAACAACTGTAAATAAGCTTTGTACCCGTAATTGTTATGTAAAGTTTATGGCTGTCATTCTCCTTGTTAATTAACAAAGAAACTATCTCTGCCAAATCTATATTTGTTTTATTGGATTACATTGGAGCTGAAGAATGTTAGGTCGTTTCCAGGGATACCACAGTATTAACAAAACAGTGTAAATATTTATAAATATTAATAAATCATTAATTAACCATTAAAATTTTGCTCTTCTAATACAGGAAGAAAAAGCTCAAATACCAGTTCACATACATACAGTATTACAAATAAAGTAAGTCTGCAGATGCACTCTTTTTTGCAGCATGACTCTGACAAGATTTTTTTTAGTAATCAAATCAATTTTACTGATAATTAAACTCAATTTACATGGAAACATGATCTAAATGTAATCTCTAAATGAAATAAAAGCTTATTAACTAAAATACACATGTCTAGAGCTACAGATAGAAAAATAACCATTGCTCACATTGTCTCAAAAGCCATCCACTTTTAGCAATCACAGAGTTATCCATATTTATACTTTCTGTCACAGGATTTCAACCTAGAGAGATAAAAGGTATATAAGGTCTACTCTTATTAGATCTACATTTTGGGTACCACAATACATCTTGAAAGTAATGACTATTAGAATAAGTAACAAGTTCAGAATGCTGCAGAAGTAGATATATTTCACTACACTGCAAAAATAGTTAAATAAACAACAACAAAATAAGTTAAATGACTGAAATTCTAACTCAGAAGTTACTTCCTAGATGTAAGCAGTGTAAAATGCTTAAAATCTATACACCCTTGGATATTTTTAATTGTTTTGTGGCTGGGAAGCTGCAAATTCAACCTCGACTGTATTGAGAACAATATACCATCTGAGTATACTACTGTGAGTTAGTTCTGAATAACAAAAAATCTTGTATTACAGTACCAAGGTATCTATATATATATATAAAGCATAAAGAAAATTCTGTGTGTCTGTCTGTCTGTTATCTAACTCCTCCTAGGTCGTCGGTCCAATCTCAACCCAACTTTGTGGGATGATAATTTGGAATAAGGGGCATGTTAATGGTTAACCATTCCCTTCCACCCCCATTATTGCTTGCTGGAGTATATACTTTCTTTGACATAAGTTAACGTTAACTACATTTAATGTTAGGCTTAAAGTTAAATTTTAGCGGTAATTTTTTTAAACTGATAAGACATCTATCACACGGGAGTGTGCTTATAATATTTATAACCTATTATATTATTATTTATATATTGAGATTAGTGTTGAATATTTAATATAGTAGGCTAGTAAATTTAGATAGAACTTGTTACACGTTAATATTAATAGTAATACTAGTAATAGCACATTAAATATAAATTATAATCTTAACTTCATTACACATTACACTTAAAATTACAGTCAATATAATTATCACCTATGGTTAAGAATAGTCAAGCTACTAAGGGTTCTCAGTTGATAAAGTGTGATGGATGCCAGGAGAGTGTTTTATTTATAAACTCTAGGTTAAAGAGTACTCTTAGGAAGGCTAGTAGTCAGGATGTACAACTTATTTGCAGGGCATGCAGGTTAGAGAAGTTAGAGGGTTTTTTTGGGTAGAGTTGCAGAGGTGGAAAGGAAGAAATGTAAATTGCTTGAAGAGGTGATGGGGCTTAGCAAAGAACTTAAACTTCTGCACTCAAAGGGTACAGTTGGCAAACAGGATTTTAATTGAGTTAATAAAGGTAATAGGGCTAAAAGCTTGGAAGATAATGCATTTAGGGGCAAGGATGGGCTTTGGTTTAGGTTAATCAATCAGTTTCAAGCACTTGCTAGTGATGAGGGGGAGCAGATAAGGGAAATAGATGAGATCATAAAAGATGATAGTTTGAAGGATAGGGAAGTTACAGATGTAGGTGACTCTCTAGTTAGGCATGTAGATAGAGTAATATGTGGAGTAAATAAGAGCAAAAGAATACATTTATGCTATCCAGGAGTACAGGTACAGGATATAACTGATAGAACCAGAGAGACAGTTAAGGGTGCTAGTAGCAATGCAGGTTTTGTGGTACATGTTGGGGCTAATGATGTAAGAAAAGATGGATCTGAGGAACTTATTGATAAGTATAAAACATTGAGAAGGGGATTTAAGGAAAGGGGTCATAGCTTAATTTTGTCAGGGTTATTGCTAAGAATAAATTGTGGGGATGAGATACTAAGTAGGTCACTAGGATTGAATGCAAGGCTTAGATCAATATGTAGAGATGAGCAAATAGGATGGTTGGATTTGTGGTATAATTTTAATGGGAAAGTTAATCTTTTTGGAATGTATGGCTTACAATAATAATAAAAGAACACAATATTGTGTATAGCAATTAGTGAAAAATGACAGTAAACGGAACAAACTTCTAAGAGTTTGTTCCATTTACTGTCCTTTTTCACTAGGATGGCTTACACTTAAACAAGGCAGGGGCTAGCATGTTAGCAAGAGCTATTAACTGAGCTATAGTGGTAGATTTAAACTAAGATTAGACAGAGGTGAAGGCTATGATATTAGTAAAATAGAGAATATAACTGATAAGAAAACATGTACAACAGGCATAAAACATGAACATATTTTAAAATCTATGATTAATTGTTACTATTGTAATGCTAGGAGTATTAGAAATAAAATTGATGAGTTCAAAGCAGTTGTGGAAACTGAGGATTTTGATATTATGGATATCTCTGAGACTTAGTTGAATTTGAACAATTTTGATGAGAGAATTTTTTTTGAAATACCAGGCTACAGATTATTTACTAGAGATTGAGTATTGAAAAAAAGGGGAGGAGTAGCTTTATATGTGAGGAGTGAATTGCATCCTGTTGAGTTAAAGCATATTAACGAATATAGCACTGAAGTTGAGTCAGTTTGGGTTAGTGTTAGTGGATATAAAGGAAAAAGTCTTGCAATTGGGAATTGTTATAGACCACCAGGTCAAAATGTAGAAATTAATGAGAAATTGTACAATGAGGTCAGAATGGTAGCTGAAAAAGATTTTAATTTCAAGGGTATTGATTGGGAAAATTTTGAGTCTGACAGTGAGGGGGGATGGGTTTTTTGTTCAGGATATTTTTATACACTAACTGGTGATGGAACCTACAAGAGAGGAAGCTGTATTAGATTTAATATTACCATTCAATGTGGATATGATAGACAGACTTGTGGTTGGTAAATATTTAAGTACAAGCAATCATTGCATTCTTAGGTGTGGGATTTCACTACATGTAGAATTGAAAAATAGTACCCTGATTCCAAATTTCAGGAAAGCCAATTTTGATGGAATTATACATGATCTAGCTTCTGTTGTTTGGACTAAAGAGTAGGAAGGGGATCTTGAAGAGATTTGGGAAGGATTTATGGAAAAACTGATATGCATACAGAACATACATATTCCCTAAAGAAAAAAAAGGGCAACAGAGCGGAATAAGCCAGTATGGTTTAGTAAAGGTTTAAGAGATCATATTAGGAATAAACATAATAAATTCAAGAAATTAAAATGTACAGGAAATAATAAGGACTTGAAAGACTATAGGAAATCAAGAGAGCTAATTAAAAAGGGCAAAATTTGTATATGAAAGAATGTTGGCTGAGAGAGTTAAATCAAACAATAAAGAATTATTTAGGTATATGATGGATAAGCAAAATGTTAGGATGGGGATTAAGCCTCTTAAAAATGATTTAATATGAGATGGTAAACTTATAAATTATATGTTCTATTCAGTTTTTACGAAGGAAGATACAAGTAATATGCCTCAAATAGAGCACTTAATGTATGGGGAAAATATTGATGTAAAAGACATCATTTTAAGTTCTGAAATTGTAAGAGAAAAGTTGGGAAACCTAAAATTAATAAATCCCCTGGACCAGACAACTTTTATCCTAGAATTTTAAAGGAACTTAAAGATTATATTTGTGAACTGCTAGCTAATATTTTTTATAGGTCATTGAGTGGTAGAAGAGTACTAGAAGATTGGAAGTTGGCTAATGTTAGTCTAATATTTAAAGGAGGTGATAAACATTGTCCAGGCAATTATAGGCCAGTTAATCTTACATCAGTAGTTGGAAAGGTTTTGGAAAGTGTGATTAAAGATGCAATGCGGAGTCACTTAAAGCAGGTTGATATAGTGTCAAAGAGCCAGCATGGTTTCACTAAGGGAGAGTCTTGTTTATCAAATCTTCTGACATTCTTTGAGGATGTTACTGCAAGAGTTGATGAAGGAAATACTGTGTATTTGGTTTACCTTGATTTTCAGAAAGCATTTGATAAGGTGCCTCACAAAAAGACTTGTTAAAAAAATTAAAGTTATGGGGGAATGTTATTAAATTGGATAGAAACTGGCTGGAGAGTAGAAAGAAGAGAGTAGTAATAAATGGACTTAGATCTGACTGGATTACAGTTACACGTGGTGTGCCTCAGGGCTTTCTGCTGGGTTCTCTGCTGTTTGTGATTTATATTAAAGATACTGACTCTGGAATGACTAACAACATTTTGAAGTTTGCAGATGACATTAAGATTTTTGGGTGGCTAACTCTATCAAAGATGCTGCAGTATTTTCTGGGATATTTAG